GATGATTTCTTTCCATACTCCAAGCTGGTCTAGGAAATTCAAACATGACATACAGCTGCCTTCAGTGGTGGTGATCTGCTCTACATTTTGCTCAATGGTGTACATTTCATACAGCCAGGTAGAGGATATAGTCTGTGACAAGCCACACCTTAGTTGCTTGTAAATCCTGGGACATCAGCTCCCAGGCTTGCTGCACCAGGACCTGCTGTCAACCCAGGCAAACAGGGCCTTGATGTCAGGGAACCTTCAGCTATCGTGGCTGCTGGTGCCTAGATTCTGGTGCCCAAGAGAGGAAAAAACTTTTTCTCTAAGATCTGGAAGAAAAGGAATGCTCACTCTCTACTCTTATTCAACATAGTTCTGGAAGTCTTGGCCAGAGCAATTGGGTGACAGAAATAAAAGTCATATAAATAGAATAAAGGAAGCCGTTTGTAGATTATATAATTTTGTATATGGGGAAATCTAAACACTTCACTAAAAGACTATTAGAAATGATAAATTCAGTGAATTTGTAGGGTAAAAAAATCAACATACAGAACTCAGTGGCAATTTTATCTACCAATAATGAGATTGCTGAAAAGGAAATTATAAAAGCAATCCCATTTGCAATAGTTACAAAATATCTAGGAATAAATTTAACCAAGGAAATGAAATATGAACCTCTACAATGAAAATTATAAAACTTTTCTGGAACAAATTGAAGGGTACACAAAAAAATGAAAAGGCCTCTTATATTCACACATAAGAAAAATTAATGTTATAATGCCCATATGCCACAAATGATTTACAGATTAAAAACTCATAAAAATATCAATGTCATTCTTTGCAGAACTAGAAAAAAATAACCCCAGCATTTATAAGGACTTACAGAAGATTTCAAATAACCAAAGTAATCTGGAGAGAAAAAAAGCTGACTTCAAAAATCTACTACAATGCTATCATAATAATAATAAAAATAGCACGGTGTGGTGGGATAATAACAAATACACAGATCAGTGGAATAGAAATGTGTGCCAAACATAACTCAATTCATTCACATTCAACTGATTTTCAACAAAGTTGCTTTAAGAATGTATTAGTTTTTTTTCCCCAGACCCGTGCCCTCCCAAGATATATCATGTAAAGGTACAAGATACCAATGATAAATGTAACTACTGTTTGCTTTAAATGTACCAATAAACTTAATGGAAAAAATACTGCATTAAAATCTAAAAAACAAAAACAAAAACAAAAACAAAGAAATAATGTATTGGAAAAGGGTTGTGGATTTAGCTCAGTTGTGCCACTGCCTGCCTCACAAAGACCCAAGTTCAATCCCTGGCACCAAAAAAAAAAAAGAATGTATTGGAAAAAAAAAGATGGTCTTTTTAATAAATGGTACTGGAAAAATGGAAAAATTGGGTTTTCACATGTAGAAGAATGGACATAGATCCCCTTCACCAGTTATAAAAGTGAACTCAAGGTTGATTAAATACTTAAAAGTAAGAGACATGAAATAATTAAACTACTAAGTGAAAACATAGGGGAAATGCTTCATTGACTTGGAATGGGCAAGTATATTTTGTACAAGACCTTCAAATCAAAGTAAAGAAAAAGAAAAAATAGACATAGAATTATATAGTACTAAAAAGTTTCTACATGTCAAAGGAAACAATTATCAGCATGAAAAGACAACCAAGAGAATGAAGAATATTTGTAAAACATACTTCTGACATGAGGCTGATATCAGAATTTATCAAGAATGCCAAAATCTCAATAACAAGAGAACTAACTGTACCAAAAATCAAGAAATGAGATCATATCTAATTAAAAAGCTTCATGGCTGAAGATTTAGCTCAGTGTTGCCCCTGCCTGCCTTACAAGTGCAAGGTCCTGAGTTTGATACTCAGTATCAAAAAAATAAAAATAAAAATAAAAAATAAAAAAAGCTTCTGCATAGCAAAAGAAACAATCAAAAGAATGAAAAAAAACCCCTGAAAATTGGGAAAACTTTTTTCTAGATGTTTCTCAGATGGAGGGCTAATAACCAGAATATATAAAAGAAATTTAAAATATTAGACTCCCCCCCAATAAGATCCCCCAAAATGGACAACTGAAATGAATAAATGAATAGACACTTCAAAGTACAAGTGACCATAAGTTTATGAAAAAATGCTCAACATCACTGGCCATTAGATAAATTCAAATTGAAACAACAATGAGATTCACTTTACCACAGAAAGAATGGCCATCATCAAAAACAAATAATAACACTGTGGGGCCACAAGGCAAAAGGAACTCTTCTACACTGTTAGTGATAATGTAAATTAATACAACCACTTTGGAAATCAGAATGGAGGATCCTCAAAAAACTGACTCAGCTATTCCCCTTCTAAGTACCTTCCCTAAAAAGTTCAAGACATCATATTACAGTGATATATTCATTCCCACGTTTATAGCAGCACAACTCACAATAGCTAAATCTTGGAAGTGGCCTATATGTCCATCAACAGATGGATGAAGAAAATGTGCTATTTATGCACAGTGAAGAAACTACTCTGCTACAAAGAAAAAAAAACTTGCATCATTTGTAGGAAAATGAAGGCACCATGAGACCATAATGTTAATAAATAAATGAGACACACAATCTTAAACATTGTATGTTTTCTCTTGCATAAGAAAACCAAAGTATAAATAAAGAGCAAAAAAAAAAAAGACAACAGCAAACAGAGGTAGATCTTTCTCCAATGGGAAGAGGATCAAAAGATGGAGGGAAGAGGAGGGAGGAGAGGGAAAGGGAATGATAAAGGAAATTAAGATGTGTCATGTACATGTACCAACTCCACACAAGGAATGTAAACATTATGCACTGCAAACATGTACAAAAAAGGGAATCCAGAGATGGATGCAGGGGAGAGGGAGAATAGGGAAGGGGATAAAAAAAGAAATTAAGATATATTATGTACATGTACCAACTCCCTACAAGGAATGTAAATACTAGGTACACAAATATTTACTAATAAAATAATGAAAAAATAATTCTAAAAAAATGGACAATTGATTAGACATTTTTAAAAAGGAGGCATACAAATTTCCAATAATACTTGAAAAAATGTTCAACATGTTGATCATCAGAGAACTACAAATCAAACTCATAATGAAATATTACTTCATTCCTATAACTATTACCAAAGTTCTGGTCAGGGTACAGAGAAAATGGAATCCCTATACATTATTGGTGAGAATGTAAACCAGCACAGTCGTTATGGAAAAAGTATGATGCTTCCTCAAAAATTATAAACAGAACTATCATATAATGCAGGAATCCCATTAACAGATATATGTATCCAAAGGAAATGAAATGCCAAAGACATCTGTACAGCCATGTTCAATGCGGTGCCATTCACGATTGTCAAGATATGTAATCAACTAATAGATGGATAAAGAAAAATATGGTAAACATATACAAGGACTGTTCATCCAGAAAAAAGAATAGAATAGCCATTTATGACATCAACATGAAGTGAAGATCATTATGTCAAGTGAAATAAGTGACATACAAAATCACAAACACCAATGATCTTACTTATATGTGGAATCTTAAAAGAGTAGATTAGAGTCTAAGAGTAGTTCCACAGGCTGGGAGAGAGTAGGGAAGAGGAAGGGATAGAGAAAGACTGACCAATGGTACTATACTACTCCTACATAGGAGTAAGATGTTCTGGGGTGTTATATTTTTAAAAGGTAGAAATAAGGATTTTGAATGGTTTGATTATAAAGAAATGATACATGTTAGAAGAAAACACTATGTTGAATCTTAGATATTTCCCAATGTATACTTGTGTTGAAATATAACATGATATCCTACTTTGTATAACTTTTATATTTTAATATATGTTAAAAAATAAGTTGAATAATTTAAAAAAGTATTGAAAACTGCCACTTCTAATGGTAGGGCTAAAACTCCCACCATGTGGGAGGGTACACTTTTATTACTAGTCTTCACCCTGTGTTCCAAAGAGTTGCTGGAGCACTGAGCAAAAAAGATAAGGGAGGAATGAAGAAAATTCCCCAAACATTTCAGAAAAAGCATTTCTAACTTTAATTTTGAAAATATTTTATATATAGGTTTTCATGTAAAATTTCATTTGAAGACAGGATCTCATAGTTAAAATAAATTTTGGAAAGCAATAAATTATAAGATACAATGTATTTTTTATTTTTGGTTTTATGTTTTTGGTGGTTCTGAAGATCAAACCCAGGGCCTCATGCAAGCTATGCAAGCACTCTACCCCTCAGCAACATCCATAACCCACAACAACCTATTTTTTATGATTTTCAAAGCATAATACATTGATGCTATTGCTATGACTGAAGAAACAAGTAGGGAACAAGTACAGAGACAAGGAGTGATCATCTGAGATTTATTAACACTGATCAAATAGTTCTAATGGATAAAACTCTTAAAATTTACACTAGAATGCTAGTCTATTACAGAGTATGAATAAGAAGCAAAGAAACTGGTATGGTTTGGAAAAATGGCCCAAAGGCGCTCCTGTTAAAGGCTCAGTCTTCAGCTGGTGGTGCTATCCGCAAGTGATGAAACTTTTCAGAGGTGAGCCTAGTGGGAGATCCAGTTACTGGGGCCCTGGCCTTGAGGAGGATATGGCGTCCTAGCCCTTTTCTCTTCTTTCATTCCTGGACAAGACGGGAATTGGCTTCCTTTGCCATGTGCACCAAACATGATATACTGACTCACCACAGGCCCAAAAGCGACAGACCAAAACAACCACAGACTGAAAGTTTCAAAATTAAGCCACAATTTTTTAAAAAATCTTTGAATATTCAGGCTGGAAATAAGCTTGACCCTCTTCCCTTGGGCTCCCAAAGTGCTGGGATTACAAGTGTGTACCACCACACTGACTCCGGTAATTTGTTACATTAACAGAAAGCTAACACAAAAATTATATAGAAAATAGAAAAAAATGAAATTTTTATCACCAGAAAAGCTAAAGCCTTACCATCCACGGGTGGTTTAGATGGCTGAGATGCAGTTCATGCGCCAAATAAAAACAGGGCATTCTTTTCACATGTGCTTCAGAAATACAAGATAAAACCAGCATTGGTCTTCCTGAAGATCCAAAAGCTGGATCTGTCATTGCCATAATATGAGAAAATTCATCTTGCCATTCATGTCCTAAAGAATATAAGTTAAAACTGTTAATTTTCATTTTTATAATAGTTTTTAAAATAATAAAATAAAAATTAACAAAATAAGAGGAAAATTTTTACCATAATGCAAACCTAACGAATGGTCTCTAATGCTGGTATTCATTCATTGTTCTGCCATAAAACTAGATCAGGTAGCTTTTTGAGAATAATTTAGGTGAAGCAAGAAAATCACAATAGCATTCAAATGTCTGTATAAGATGAAAAGTAAAAATCCTTAGAATAGATATTTTTCTCTCAAAAATCTATAGCTATCTTGTTTTCAAAATTTAAGAATACAGTTGGATCTAGCTTTTTAAAAAGAAATCCAAACTTCTCAGACAAACAAGTAAAAGCAGCAAGTAAATATATGAAAAAATGTCCCACATCACTGGTCATTTGATAGATGCAGATGAAAACAACACTGAGATTCCACTTCACCCCAAAAAGAATGGCTGCGATCAAGAAATCAACCAATAACAAATGTTGGCGGGGTTGTGGGGAGAAAGGAACCCTTCTCCATTGTTGGTGGGAGTGCAGACTGGTGCAACCACTGTGGAAGTCAATATGGAGATACCTCAAAGAACTAGGATTAGAGGTTCCATTTGACCCAGCCATCCCTCTGCTGGGTATCTTTCCAATAATCATACCACAGTGATATATGCACACCTATGTTTACAGAGCCACAGTTTGTAATAGCTGAAACTTGAAAACAGCCCAATTGCCCATCAAATGGGGACTGGATAAAGAAAATGTGATTTTTCTATAAAATGGAGTACTACTCAGCCATAAAGAACAACAAGCTAGAGACATTTATAGCTAAATTGATGCATATTGAGGCCATACTCTTAAGTGAAGTAAAAAGGACACACATGTGTAAATGCTGAATAGTTTCTCTGGATCATTTTGAGTGACCTGTCTTTAGGCTCACTGATTTTTCTTTTTGCTTATAAACCCACGGAAATAACTATTAACCTATTATCATATTTTTCATGATAAACATTCTCATTTTACTTTTTCAAAATAGCTTTCTTCCATCTATTGAAAAATCTCTATCTGTTCACACATATTTTCTACATTTGCTGTTAGATCTTTTAACATGTTATTCATAATTATGTATTTTACTATCTTTTACTGAGAAAACCAACATACAGCCCATCTCTGCATCTAGTTCAACAGAGTGCCTCGCCTCCTGACAATTTACCATTTCATTTTCTTTTTTTTTTTTCTTTTGAGAAGGGATCACATTGTGTTACACAGGCTGATCTTAAACCCCTTGGCTTACACAATCTACCTGTGTCAGCCTCCTGAGTACCTGAGACTACCGATACCACCACATCGGTTTTAGAATTTTCAGACATAATACTAGATATTTATGTAGAAGAGCAACAAAAATGAGATAAAGAGATTTACAGGCAAAAATAGGTATGTTTCTTCTTACAAGTTACTGAGCAGATTTGGTTTTCATTGCTATAATTAACTTCAACACAGGGAATTTAAATTCTTTTAACAGTGGGCTGTGTAACCTTGTTATGAATGAAAGAGCTGTAGTGTCAGACTTTCCTTTTCAGAGTTTTTTTTTTTTCTTCTCATAGCTTTTAGATCTTCATACCTACACATCCAGGTAGGGAAGGGAAGTGAAAGCCTCTACATATCTTTCTCTCAATCTTTACAATAGCCTGCTATTGTTTGTTACTGGGTAGAGAAATGGAAATTTCTCATTTTATTGTCCCAATCTCTGTCTTAGATGGTTCCTGTGAATCTGAGCCTCAGTGGTGGAAGCTTTCTCAGTGTTCCAACATGACTACTGAATTCTTCCATGTATTGGTAGAAAAATCTTCAGTATAAATTTCTTTCCTTGCCCTCAAAATCCTCAGAACTTATAATTTGCAACAGCGCAGGGTCCTTGGAACTGTGATTCCTATCCTTTCACTAGGTACAAAGAGCTTTTGATTCTACCCCTTCTTTGCAGCAGCAGTTAATCTCTGCCTGGAACCAAGAGGCAGGAGAATTTCTGATTCCATCTCTTGTGGCAGACAGCTTTGGCTACACATGAAAAAAACAAAACAGAAACTAGGAAGATACACTCATCCCCAGTAGCAAATGATCATCACATGCATAACTGTATCAACATGCCCCCTTCCCGACTACTACCCCTTTATATAAGTACCATCTAATAGAGGCCAACGGAAAAAGATGGTAAGTAGATGCAGATGCTCGTTGAAACTTGAAGTTTTAAAATTTATTTTTCTCCTTGTTTTATAGGGAGATAAAGGAAGAAGACTGGAAAACCAGGTAAAGTAGAGACTGTCTATTTTAGTTCTCAATTCCATCTCCAGCACCAAACAGAATGTCTGACTTCAATAACTATTTGGAACTCAACAGCTCTTTGTTGAATAAATGAATATATCTTTTGTTTTGCTTTAAATCTTTCCTGTTATAGATAGCCCCATAGTAACAGAAAATAATTTATTTTTTTCTTATCGATAATTTCTTCAAATTTTCAGAGTATAATTGCTTCCATGCATAAGTCTGAGAAATAAATTCAATGAAAATTCAACCCATTATTTTAAATAAAGAACTATAATACATTCAGGTGTTATATTTATTATATATTTATGCCTTGCACACAAAGGATTTCAGAAAAAATATAATTTTGATTCATGGCCAAACAATATAGTCATTTCATACTAAAATAGCATTGTCACAATTATTCAGGATATATGGAGAGTATCACCAACTGCTATGGATTGTGTCTAGATATCCCCAGAAAGCCACATGAAGTCATAGTGGGGCTGTTACAGAGGAGGCTGGATCTAAAGAGTGTAATACTATGACTGCTTCATGACATAATGCTAGGATCAAGGCCACCAGGATTAAGGGTATGAGTGCTACCCACCCTAAGCAGCCTGGATAAGATATAATGGAAAGAGCTGTGGTCATCCCTTGCTTGCTTTGCTACCTTCTGCCTGCCATGAACTGTTTCTCCTCTGCAATGCCTGTCAGCCACGCCACAGTGCCTTGGAGCCAGCCAATTATGGACTAAAACCCCTACAGACCTTGAGCTAAATAAACCTTTCTTTCCTCCTTTAACTGTGGGTGTTGGGTATTTTGTCCTCCACAACAAGAAATGTAACTAAGCCACCAACTCATTCTTTTAATTTACTCATCCACTTAATTGACATCAATCCCCATAGCTCTCTACTATCTGGACAAAAACAAGAAAACTTTTTTCAGAGTTATCTGTATATATTATTTGAATATATTCAGACATAAAGAGAATATTAGTAATACAAATGAGAGCTATACAATAAAATATTATATAGCTATAATATCAAACTTTGACATGCATCAAAATTCCCAGGTGCTAGTAAAAACAGATGTCCATCATCCACTGCAAATCTATGAACTAAAATTCACCAGCATAGAAACTGCTCAACAAGATCACTAGGTGATCCTAATGCAAATCAACATTTGAGAAACCACCATTAAGTAATAGCCAGAAAATCACAGGGATAAAATTATCAGATTACTAAGATAACACATATTCTTATAATAACATACAACATTTATTAAACATTGAAAAGCTATTTTGATTGGTTTGCAAAGAATGTTTTTGAAAAAAATATAAGAACATGCTTACTTTTATGAGCCTCAGCATTTGCAACATAGATGAACCCATCTACAGCTTCACAGACCTTCTGAATTTGTGGAATTACACTGTATCGACTTCTTCGTTGGTCATCTCCAAGTTGAAGGTTGAACATCTTGTTAACTGCACTTGTATGTTCTTCCCTTGCCCTATCCCTTTCCTTTCTATACAAAAAAAAGTAAAAATATAATTACAAGGACACTAAGCAGGTTCCATCCTCCTAAAATGTTCCACTCTTTAAGCTTTAGGCAAGCCACCAAGTAGGTAGATTTACCTGGTAGTTGAATACAATATCAGGATGTTAAATTTATGTTGGTTGCTCAACTGAAAACTGACTCCTGATCCAATACCTAAAGAATAAAATTATAATTATTAAAGCAAGTCCTTAAATAATGGCAGCAAAAGATCAGACTAGAAAATGTCACCTAGTGAAAGCCAAAATATCCAAGAAAAAACTTTGAAATAAAATACAATGCTCGTGTTGAAGAGAAGATGCTATATGGAACTTTGATTCATATGGTAATAAAAACATAGGTAGAAAACAGAACTGCTATGTTTGTCATTGACTTTTTACGTCATCGTTATCATCTTGACACAAAAGCACAAAAATGATCTACAATAGGGTTTCTTATAATATCTGAGTTCTCATATGTAAAATTCCTGGTAGCGTGATGAGTAAATAGTAAGTGCTAAATATCTGCTTATTAGTACTTTATAGTTGAGCAATTCAACACTGTCATTTGTCTTTCTTTCTTAATTTCTCTCCTTTGGCTGTGTTAACTTTCAGGGCCTAATTTTTTCCTTCTAACCTCCAGGAAAGAGCCTTCTTGAATTTCATGGCTCTGTATCTTCTTCTTATATATAAATGTCCTTAGATCTGTCCACTTCGATCATCAGCATTCTCATCTTTTAGTTCAAATCCTATCTCAATGGAACTTTTGCAACCACTTCTAACCAATTTCTTACATTTTTTTGCCTCCAATTATCCTTTCTTAGAAGAGAATTTGGAAATATTACTTAATAATAATATCTAATTATGGCTTTTCTCTACAATGCCATTGCTCTTCAGGTATGAAAAGCAAAACCTTAATAAAATCTGGCCCCTACTTACTTCAGAAAGACAACTCTAGGATTTCATACACTTGATCCTTGCAGTAAAATCAATTAATCTGTTTAAATAAGCTGAGCCACGGATCTCACATCGTCATTCTATGAAACATGTGTACTGAGTGTTGGGACTCTTGTGAGCTGAGACTACAATCATCCCAGACTATGTGATCTGTGTCCTCTATCCACCAGATAGGGTGTGTACTCCACAAGGGAATTATGGAAATAAAAATCAATCATATTTCTGAACATTGTTTTTCACAATTTAATGTCCATAAATTATTCTCTCAACATATCTAACCTCAGCCAAGCCTATCCCATACCATTCTGCACTTCTTTGCCAATGATATAATCCATATTTTTCTGATCTTACAAGATTTGAAGCATAGGTATAGGTATATTAGCATTTTAAACAATCAGTTCAGCTGCTATGTGGAAAATGGAATTGCCATTTCATAATCAGTAAATTTCCTTCTTTGATCCTTTTCTACCCAGAGGCTAATTATATCAAATTTTGCTCATGTATAAACTTATCCCTGTTCTCAGATCAAGATTATTCACAAGAGACAGAGATTTTTGACACTGTTTATTCTATATCTCTGTATTTTGGCATCTAAAAAGTGTTTTCAATAAGTAAAGCATAAGCTAAATTATATTATTATATACTATATTTTGCAGAATAATTACATTTCTTTGTTCATACAAGGGAAAATGCTTATTTAGCTTTTTCAAACAATATCCTGACAACACAATTTACTTTCACATGATATTAAATTCTGCATTACATAAATTTGATGAATTAAGGGGAAACTTCTTATAATAATTAATGTTTTCAGCCTTGCGGAACCTACAGTTTGGGGTGGGGAGGACACCCTCCAAATTACTGTATTTCATTGCACAAATAATTAATTAAAATTAATTTCTTTCTGGTGTCAAGATCAAAATGTCTGAGTTATCATGTATAGTAACATGAAAATTACCATCAATCTGTCTGTGCGGCAAACCAGCAGTTGGACTAAGTTCTTCAGAAGACATCAAGCTCAACACCAAAGATGTATTCAGTTCTTCTAAACCTGGTCCAAACATAGCAAATCGTGGTTCATTCGGAATGATCAATGAGTGTAAAAAGGAGGTGACAGCTCCATACATAGGACGGCTGGATTTCAAAGCTCTTCTTGCACATGGACAGCACATTTTATAACTGTAGAAAATTGTCACAATTAGAAATTAACAGAGAAGAAATTTAGCCAGTTGTTCCTGCAAGAACATATAATTTATTGGGCACTTGCTAGGAATAAGACTATAAGGATTGTACAGTCCAAATACTCATGAGGAGCACTGGGGGATGAACTCCATTATAAATGTATGCAGAGTACACTGATGCAGAAAAAGACAAGGTGCTATGGCAAACAGAGTGACTCAGAAGCTGAAGTCTTCCCCAGGAAGTAATAACTGACTTTTTGAGCTTTCACATAGATTCTCTCATGGACATTGGTCTAACACTTATTCCAATGTCAATATTCACTACTAAGCATAGTAGTTCTCAATTGGAAGAAGTTTTTAGCCTCCCATTAAAGAATATCTGGCAATGTGTGAACAAAAAGGTAAGTATAAAGAAGTTAGCATAATTTACCTAGAAATTAAATTTACTAAGCCTATTACTATAATCAAATTTCTTAAGTATTTCTATTAACAATCTCAAATGTACAAGTTCAGTAAATGTTAAATATACAAAGAAGCTCAAACGCTTCTTATGGAACACTTAGGAAACTAAAAATCATACAAAAGAAGCAATTCAGTTTATTTTAATAGATATTGATATCTAAAATAGCAATTTCACATTTTATCAGAAATTAAAATAAAGTTGCCAAGATCAAAATGAAAACTAAAACCAAATTGTTAAAAACAATCACTAAACTAATAAAATCATTTTTATTAGGAACCTTATAATTCACAAAGGCAAAAAGAAAACCAAACCAAACCACTAACTTTGAAGTTAGATAGACCCAGGAAAGCCTCACCATGTTGGTTATAATGTATGATCAGGAAAAAAAATGGTGAATATTTAAATTTAAATTTTTAATTTCAATAAAAGACACATTGCCATTATTCCCCCCCCCCGCTTTGAACACACTTAGCCTTCTCTTGCTTACCCCACTTCCCGAAGAAGTTACAGGAATTCTCTTTTGTGTCTTGAGTTGTGTCACCTCAATGTCCCGAGTTGATTCAGAGTTTATCTGTCATGGTCATTTTGACTTCAAAGAAGAGCCAGAAGTCACAAGGTGCCAAATCCAATGAATAAAGTGGACGCAGACACATCATGTTTTCAGGAGCTTGTCTTTCCATTGGATGGCACTCTACAGCAGCAGTCACCATATTTTTATCACACCTTGTAAAGGCATACAAAAGGGAATCTCCAGAACTGCTTCAGAAAGTGGCAGGAACAAGGAGATAAGGATGTCTGAAGTGAGGGCGAGTATTCTGAGGGAGCTTAATGGCAATGTGTTTTTTATCGTAATTATAAATTTTAAATATTCACTGTATATTTTGATCACTCCTTTTATGAAATTCCTTTATAAGGCTGAACTTCAGTTTCTTCATCTACATTTTTGGGCAATAACATCACAGAGTTGTAAGGATTAGAAATAATTTATCTGATCATACATGATTACTATGATTATTACTACTCCCTGGGGAAAATCTGGTGCCTCATCATAAGATAAAATTGATGCTATGATTGACTGTTAGTGGCATTTGCTGAGATTATATACACAGATCATGTACATTTTGATGAATTAGTTTCATAAGATCTGGAATAAAACTGGGAGGAAAATATTGTATGGAGCTACTGAATCTAGCACAGCAAAACAATTCTTACCTAAAGCATAAACATTCTTTTAATTTCTTTTACAATCCCTTAAACTTGGAGTTCTCGGTAAAGTTGGTTATATTCAGACCCCATAGACTTATTTATCTTTGAGGTAGCACAATGGATTCCAATCTGAATAGTCCCTTAAAAATTATGACCTTAGGAAAATCACATTAACTATCTGAACTTTAATTCTACATCCATAATATAAACAAAAAACTATGCTGCGTAAGGATTGAATGAGTTAACATACACAGACTCCCCCATACAATCCAATATAGGGCATAGTCACTGTAATTCTCTTATATATATTGTACTAATAAATGTCAATGTCTTTAAGTGATAAAATCTTATTTTTCATCCCTGCCAAAAGACTGCTTCCTGATCTATAGTCATTCTTTTTCTCAATAGTAAAGTTATTGACAATGTAACAAAATGACAGTCAGGAATGGTGGCGCACACCTGTAATCCCAGCACTAGGGAGGGCTGAGGCAGGAGGATCGCTGTGAGTTTGAGACCAGCCTGGGCTACACAGTGAGTTCCAGATCAGTCTCAACTACATAGTGAGATCCTGTCTCAAAAAACCAAAACAAACAAACACACAACAACAAAAAAAAATGACAAGTGCTCTAAAGAGAATGAAAATTTTAAGAAATGTTTTATTTTCTGCCATTTGTACTACATATAATTATTCCAATACTGGTTAGGCACCATAGGGAAATAACAAAATGTTAAAGCTGAGCTGATTCTGTGAAGCAAATCAGTTAAATCAACCCCCTAGTTTGACAAGAGACACTTAGACCCCAAATCATGCAACAGATTAGCAGTGAGAGCAGGACTAACATTGGCTATTGATGGGAAAAAATTCAGTATCTTTTAAATTCACAAAACTAGATACTTACACCGTCATATAATCAAATAATGCACTGTCAGTGACTTCAGATACAGGTTTTTTTAAGATTTCTAGATCTGGAAGAGACTTCCAGTCAACAGAAGACCAACAAGGAAGATCCCTCAAAAGAAAATATCTCCACAGAATTGGATCCCGTACAATTTCATTCCAATAATGATTTGTACTTCCCAACTGACATAGATCATGTGGTGAAAGAAATGACAAAATATATAGTTGTACATCAATCTGAAACAGAAGAAATCAGAAGAAAAAAGAATGAATAATCTATCTTAAAAAGTTGCTTGATAGAGAACAAAGAATTATTATGCTAAATAACTAAGGTTAACTGAAATAGTATTTTAATAGTTAAATCTATCATTGAGAAGTTATTTTCCTGCCAAAAGGGAAGAATCCTAACTGAATACTCTAATTTTTGACACACTGAAATATTTCTAAAAAATTAAGCACTGTCTTGCTGTTTTTTTAGGTACAATAATTGGATCTTTTAATTTCTTCAGATCAATATTTTGATACTTATTATTTAAATAAATCAATTAAGAAAATAATGTTTTTCAAAACAAAACCTCTATGGTCAATTTTCTCATTAGATCAAATTAAAGAATGCAAATATGCCAATTGAGTTCTATTAATATATGTAACCTAAAAAAGATGACAAGAAAGTAAAGGGAGGCTATTATTAGACAAGAGGGAGGGAATAAGATTTAGAGAAGGGTGTCAGGGTAGGTCATACAGGACATGGATATGATGGGGGTAAAGTGTTTAAAGTATGTTATGTATATTTATGAATTTTCAAAAAACAAAATGATTAATCTGTATAACCAATTAAAAAAGAGTAGAAAAAAATTACATTGAGATTCCATCTCAACCCAGTCATAATGGTTATCCTTAAAAACATAAAGATCAACAATGCTGTTGAGACTGTGGGGGCAAAGGAATCCTTCTATACTCTGGATGGGAAAATACATTAGTATTGTTACTTTGAAATCAGTATGGCAGTTCCTCAAAAAACTAAAAATAAAACTACATGACATAGCTGTCACTCTTATGTATATGAAGGATTTAACCCCAGTATACCGTGAGAACTGCATACTCATGTTTATGGTGGCCAAGTCCACAATGGCAAAGATAAAGAACTAGCCTAGGTGCCTGCCCAGCAACAAATGAAAGGATAAAGAAATTACTCTTATGTATATGAAGGATTTAACCCCAGTATACCGTGAGAACTGCATACTCATGTTTATGGTGGCCAAGTCCACAATGGCAAAGATAAAGAACTAGCCTAGGTGCCTGCCCAGCAACAAATGAAAGGATAAAGAAATTGTGATATATACATATAAATATATATGTATACATATATATTTATATGTATATATCTGTGTATGTATATATATATATATATATATATTTCAGCCATAAAAATGAAATTATTCCATTTGCAGAAAAATAGACGGAACTAGAGATCAAGTTAAGTGAAATAAACTAGACTCAGGAAGGAAAGTAGCAAGTAACACATATTTTTCCTAGTATGTGGAATCTAGAGAAAGAGAGAGAGAGAAAATAAAATAGTAGGAAGGCTTATTAGACAGAAGGAAGGGAATAGGGGCAAGGGGAAAGGGTATGTGTAGGGAATGTTTGGGAAGATAGAAATGATTAAAATGTTATATGAATGTATGAAAATACTACATTGAAGCCCAGTATTTTCTAAAATTAATATGCAATAATAAAATACAGTTTAAAAATTGTTTCAAAGAACACTGCAAGGGGAAGATTCTTGAAGGCATTCTAAGCCTACCGTTTTCAACTTGGGATGGATGACAAAGGGAGATGCCAATAATCCAAATGAGACAGAATTGCAATAATTGCCCAGAATTTCTATTTCCCCACCCCAATTGAAGCTTTAACATGAATGTGCATAATCTTTGTGTTTTGTTGTAATGTGACAGTGTGATTTGGTCATTTATTTTGTAATGGTAGTTTTGTTACTTTGAATATACGGTCAGATAATTACAATGTCCTAAGAGAGTGTGTTTTGGGTATCACCAGACGGTTCTGATACATTTAGCCTGGGAAGGAAGATGCTGCAAACCCAGGTGTCATTTTCTCAATCGATGTTCAGGGCGTCCCAGTCCTAAACGCCAGTTTTGAGGCCAGAAAACCTGAGAGGGATCTGGCTGTTCATCAGGGTGCCCTGTGAATGGGAGCTGCGCTGTGACCTTCTCAGGCCGGGAAGGACAAGGAAGGGGGTCAAGGCCAAGGGAGTCTGGCCAACCGCTGCTGCCAGGGAAGCGACAGCTCGGGCGGGGCCGACTGGGCCTTCGCGCGCTCACCGGCAGTCGCCTCAGGATGCTGGTCTCCTCACCCGCCTCCTCCGGGGAGGCCATCTGCGCCCTCTCCTTGCCCACCGACTGCCAGAAAGTCCTCCAGCCGCTGAGGATGGCCGAC